GTGCCGCATGATGGAGTGAGCTCCCATCTCTAGTTCCAGCTCCTGCCAACCTAGCAGTTCGAAAGCAAGAAATTGCAAGTAGATAAATAGGTACCGCTTCGGTGGGAAGGTAACAACGTTCCGTGCGCCTTGGTGTTTAGTCATGCCGGCCACATGACCAATGGAAATGTCTTCGGACAGTGCTGGCTCTTCGGCTTGGAAACGGAGATGAGCACCTTAACCCTAGAGTCGGACTCGACTGGCTTTCGAGCAAGGGAACATTTCCTTTACCTATGCAGCAAACCAGAGTGAGCTTGCCTTGATAACAGAGTTTGGATGGAGACGTTTCACAGTGGCGCCCCTGGGTAATGTGCTAGACTAAAAATCAGCGCTGCCAGTAAGGGAGGCCAGGATGGATTTGGATGTCCAATGCCACAACCGAAAGCCCGGCGGAACAGTTCCATTTTACAGGCCCTGCAGAATTTTAACAGATCTCGCAGGGTCCTGAGCTCACACGGGAGCTTGTTCCACCAGGCAGGGGCCAATCAAACGTCCTTCGGGCCGGGGACAGCTAATGTCCCACTTATGTTCCACTTTCTTCCCAACACTGACCCAAAGAGGCCTTACGTTGTTCCCCTCCCCTCCGTTCTCTCCTGACAACAGCCCTTTTAATCTGCTCAGCCAATCAGAAGCCCTGCTGGGGAAAAGCCCCACGTAGCCCCGCCCGCTTTCTAAAAACATTCGATGGGCATCAGGAAACATGCCAGCGGTGCCCAGGGGCACCGTGCTGGGGACCCCTGCTCTGCACCATCTGTCCCTCAGGCCTTCTCCTCTTAAACTCTCTACACAAGCTAGACAAATTCACAGGTTGGTTGTCCTCCTCCTTGCGCTGTGCAGGCCAGGATCGAGGAGCTGGAAGAAGAGCTGGAGTCGGAGCGCACGGCCCGGGCCAAGGTGGAGAAGCAGCGGTCCGACCTCTCCCGGGAGCTGGAGGAGATCAGCGAGCGGCTAGAGGAGGCGGGTGGGGCCACGACGGTGCAAATCGAGATGAACAAGAAGCGGGAGGCCGAGTTCCAGAAGATGCGGCGCGACCTGGAGGAAGCCACGCTCCACCACGAAGCCACGGCGGCGGCCCTGCGCAAGAAGCACGCCGACTCGGTGGCAGAGCTGGGCGAGCAGATCGACAACCTGCAGCGGGTGAAGCAGAAGCTGGAGAAGGAGAAGAGCGAGCTCAAGCTGGAGCTGGACGACCTCGGCTCCAACGCGGAACAGCTGCTGAAAGCCAAGGTGCCCCATTGGTGGAGGAGGAGGAGCCGAGCTGAGCTGAAGGGGGCGGGGCCAAGCATTCCGTGTCTCGGTATGCGCTCAAAACCCTTCACTGGGGCTCTCCCCTGTCGAGGGAGGGTCGAGTGGGGAGGTGTCAGGTAGCGGCCAAGCTGAGCTGAGGCACCCCCTGAGAAATCTCTCCAGGACTGGGTTGGGAATTTTGGGAGGTCCCAAGACTGGAGGCCATTGATAAATCCCATGATCTAGGAAGGGTCAGAATAGGTCCTTTCCCCTGACCACTCTGTGAACCAGCCCCCCGGGAGGCAAATGCTGTGTCATTCATAGGGCCTGAATACAAATTCTGCATCTTTCTCTTTTAACTGAGTTGACTTAGCACAGGTGTCCCCACCTTTGGAATTCTGACACAGCGTGGTGGATTGCAGCCACCAAATGGCTGCCTCAAAATGGCTGCCCTAGGAGGTGGAGCCAGCCACCAAATGGCTGCCATAGTTTACGTTCAGTCACACAATGAAGAGCCTTGTGCTGTGGTGGCAGCCGCTGCAACGTTATAAAAAATATGCACAATCAATCAAATCTCCAACAGCCAATCAGAAGCTGGGCTGGGCAAAAGCCCCACCTGGACCTGCCCACTTTATAAGTTGTTGGGCATGCTGGGCCCATAACCTGTTTAAGTTAACTGGTGTGGTTAGTCCATAAGAACATAAGAGAAGCCAATGTTGGAGCAGGCCAATGGCCTATCCAGTCCAACACGCTGTGTAGCACAGTGGCCAAAAATACCAGGTGCCATCAGGAGGTCCAGCAGTGGGGCCAGGACACTAGAAGCCCTCCCACTGTTGCCCTCCCCAAGCGCCAAGAATACAGAGCATCACTTGCCCCAGACATTAGAACATAAGAGAAGCTCATGTTGGATCAGGCCAATGGCCCATCCAGTCCAACACTCCTGTCACACAGTGGCCAAAAATACCAGGTGTCATCAGGAGGTCCACCAGTGGGGCCAGGACACTAGAAGCCCTCCCACTGTTGCCCCCCCAAGCACCAGGAATACAGAGCATCACTTGCCCCAGACTGAGAGTTTCTATCTACACCTTGTGGCTCATAGCCACTGATGGACCTCTGCTCCAGATGTTTACCCAATTCCCTCTTGAAGCTGTCCATGCTTGTAGCCACCACCACTTCCTGTGGCAGTGAATTCCACGTGTTAATCACTCTTTGGGTGAAGACGTCCAGTTCCCACTACTTAGCAGAGTGCTTTAAACAAAGCTCCAAGCGCAACAGCATCACTTTACTAGGTTACTCAGCTTACAAAGCTACACAGAGCCACGTTGCGGGTTTAACAGAGAAATACTTCTCTCTTTATTTGAGAAGTAAATATTCGGATAGGAAAGGGTAGGGACGGAGTTCCGGCTGGCTCCCAAGTTGGCCACACCCAGCAGGAACTGATTAGCATAATAGGCCGCACCCAACAGCAGAAACTCATTGGGATTGGCTACATTAGGGGTGTGTGGCCTAACATGCAAAGGAGTTCCTGCTCCAAAAAAAGCCCTGGGTTTTGACCACAAACAAGGTCAACAGAATAAGAAGCAAAAGGTGGGTGTGGCTGGATGACCACACTTCTGGTAACACGGGGATGTGGCCTAATAGGCTAATGAGCGGTGCTGTCATGGGTGTGGCCTAATATGCTAATGGGTTCCTACTATTGGGTGTGGCCTATTATGCTAATGAGTTCCTGCTGGGCTTTTTCTACAAAAAAAGCCCTGCTTAGAGCTCTTTATTGAGCGCCCTGCTGCTTCCTCACGGTCCCAGCAACCTTCCATGTTGCTGCCCTTCAGAACCAGACGGGAGCCTTCTGTGGCTTCCTCAACTCCATCCTCCCTTCTCTTCCTGTCTTCGGTGGCAGGTGAATTTGGAGAAGATGTGTCGCACCATGGAGGACCAATCTGCGGATTACCGAGCCAAGTTTGAGGAGACCCAGCGGACCCTCAACGACACCAACACCCAGCGGGCCAAGCTCCAGACAGAAAATGGTACCTCCCGTCTCTTGACCTCACCTCCTCTTCATTTATGTCTTCGTTAAGGGCACTTGTAACCCTCCGCTGAGGGAACTAAACTTTCTCCTAATCCCTGCCGCCCCTCAGGAGAACTGAGCCGTCAGCTGGAAGAAAAAGAGGCTCTCATTTCTCAGCTCACTCGAGGAAAACAGTCGTACACCCAGCAGATGGAGGATTTAAAGAGGCAGCTGGAAGAGGAGGCCAAGGTAACAGAGTCAGTTGGGATCTCTGGGTCTGGAGCAGTGTTCCCTCTAAGCTGAGTTGGTGTGAGCTAGCCCACAGTTTTTTAGCCTCCAGCTCACACATTTTTGTCCTAGCTCAGGAAGGGATGGCTCCAGAGCAAACTAATTTGTGCAGCAGCCAAATAGCTCAGTCACAACTTTAATGGCAGTAGCTCACAAAGTAGAATTTTTGCTCGCAAGATTCCACAGCTTAGAGGGGACATTGGTCTGGACCAGGGGACTGGGAGAGGAGAGGTCATGGACGATTCAGCGGAGGGAAAGCGGCTGGGTTTACACATGAATCTCCTTCACGCAGGCCAAGAATGCTCTGGCGCACGCTCTCCAGTCGGCCCGCCACGACTGCGACCTGTTGCGGGAGCAGTACGAGGAGGAGATGGAGGCCAAGGCAGAGCTTCAACGATCGCTCTCCAAGGCCAACTCCGAGGTGGCTCAGTGGAGGACCAAGTACGAGACGGACGCCATCCAGAGGACGGAGGAACTGGAGGAGGCCAAGTATGTATGTGAGGGAGCTCTGAGGCGAAAACTACCTGAGCCCTGACTTTTCACATTCCTGACAGAATTCCCGGACTCTCAGACCTGGCTTCTGCCTGCTGAATGTTGAGGCCTGGCCTCGATGTGGGGCCTGAGGACTGAGGCAAATCCGGACAGGTCAAGGCAAGGATAGCTGGAAGTCACGTCTTCCCAAGAGCCAGGCCTACCTGGACAAGGCAGAATTTCTCACACAGCCCTTCTGAAGTTTGGGCATCTCCTGAAATAGTTACTTGACTGCTTGCGATTCCCTTGACAGTATCAAAACCCAGGTCTGGGGTCCTTTGCAGGTTGAGGTCTTGAGCCCCTCCCTGTTATTTTCTCTCACACACACCCTTGCCTGCCTGGCTGTTGCCTTCCGGCCTTCCTGGTCGACCCTCCTACCCCCCCACTCCCCAAGCCCCTCCTCCCACGGACATCATGCCTCACAGGTGTTTCCTCTAACGGCGAAGCTTTTGGCTCGGGTTATATTTTAAAATGGCAGCGTATAAGACGAGCAAAAAGCTTGTTGGTTGGAGGAGAAATCCCCACTAAAAAGGCACTCAGGTAGGTGGGTAGGAAAAGTGAGCTGGGGAATGGTTCCCCTGTTGTGTGGGGCACAGTGGCTTCTCTACACGGAAAAGCAGGGGGTACGTGGCACGCCAGTCCCACAGCCCCACGGGGACAGTACGTGGTGACCCCACCCCAGGCCTGCCAGTCAGAGGAAGGAAGAGCTTTCTGAAGCCGTTTGATGATGTCATTGCCATCTAATGATGTCATCAGTGTCAGCCCCTGCCTGTCTTTCAGCCAATAGGAGGGTGGCTTCCCCATATTCTGGGGATAGGTTAGGTCTGTTTCTGTGGTATTTGACACACTGTGGGCCCCCACCCCTTGCGTGTCAGGAAGAAGCTGGCGCAGCGGCTGCAGGACGCCGAGGAGGCCGTGGAGGCTGTGAACGCCAAGTGCTCCTCCCTGGAGAAGACCAAACACCGCCTGCAGAACGAGATCGAAGACCTCATGGTGGACGTGGAGCGCTCGAATGCGGCCGCGGCCGCCCTGGACAAGAAGCAGAGGAACTTTGATAAGGTGAGGGACTCGGTGGGAGGAAGGAGACGGGGGCCGAAGTCCAAAAAGACGGGCCAGCGGCGGAGTGTGGAGAAAGGAAAGACGATCCAGTTCAGTTTCTGCTGTACTGTTTCGCCCCCTCCACACCCTCCAGGTCCTCGCGGAATGGAAGCAGAAGTTCGAAGAGTCCCAACTGGAGCTGGAGGCCTCGCAGAAGGAGGCCCGAGCTCTCAGCACCGAACTCTTCAAGCTGAAGAACGCCTACGAGGAGTCGCTGGAACATCTGGAGACCTTAAGAAGGGAGAACAAGAACCTGCAAGGTTGGTCGGGGGAAGGGAATGTGGACCTCCAGAGTCACCTGGCCCTTGTCCCTTCCCGGCTGAGCTTGTCCCTCTCTCCACACAGAGGAGATCTCTGACCTCACCGAACAGTTGAGCGAAGGCGGGAAAAGCATGCATGAGCTGGAGAAGGTGCGGAAGCAGCTGGATGCTGAGAAGATGGAGCTGCAGGCCGCCCTGGAAGAGGCAGAGGTGAGCGACGCACGGATTCCCGCTCCCAGCCTCCCTTGAAAACCATGCTCGGCCTCTCTCTCCTGATCCCTTCCTTCTCCGGTTGTCTTCTTCTCTGACCCTTGCCGTGCCGTGTGTTTAAAGGGGTTTAATTCCCGTGACTTCCTCACCCCCAAGGAACCCTGGGAATCGAGAACCAGAGATTCCTAGTTCCAAGGGCAAATCCACCACAAGGTGGACACATTAGACCCAGGATCCATCTGAACTTGCGCATAGATCCCTCCGTTTATGTCTTAAGCTGGGAGTGGGGTTTGGCGAGGGCTGCGAACCGCTGCCCCATTCTCACACCATGCTCTGTTGCCTTCAGCATTTTTCTCCCGGACCAGTTTGATATTGGGATTGAGCCAAGCTGGGGGGAAAATTATTTCTGCAACAGAGCAGGGCGAAATGAAGTGGTGGAGAGCAGGTCTTAGGTCCCCTCGCCCGTGTGTGCTCCGTTGTTGTTCAACAACTTCACTCCCTCCCTCGTCATGTCTAGCCGGGGCCTAAATCGGCTGCCTCAGGCGACATAATTTGGCCCTGTTTCGCCACTTATGTCATTTCTAGGTACCGTTGCTGGGGCACCATTTTGGATTTTGTGTCTGAGGGGCCAAAACGCCTCTTCCTCACCATTCCGGAACAACTTCACTCCCACCCTCGTCATGTCTAGCCGGGGCCTAAATCGGCTGCCTCAGGCGACAGAATTTGGCCCCGTTTCACCACTTATGTCATTCCTAGATACCGTTGCTGGGGCACCATTTTGGATTTTGTGTCTGAGGGGGCAGAACGCCTCTTCCTCACCATTCCGGAAGAAATCTGTGGTGAATTTTCAGTTCTGTGTAGGGACCGTGAGGGAAGGCCTTCTTGGCCCTCCGGGAACAAACAGTGCCCAGGTTGAAAAAACACCTCATCTGAATATCCCATGAAGCTGTTTCCTGTTTTGTATTTCCTTTCCCCTCTTGATCACCGCTTGAAAGAACTCTGGAAGCAGGGTTGATTCTTTCTTTTACAAATAGAGGTTGTGTGCCTTTAGCAGGCAGAGAGGTAACGGCCAAGCTCTTGAAACTCTTCATTTCCCACCATGCTGTTGTCAAAGGCACAAAGGGTCCCTCACGATAGCAGCACCAGCTGGCAGAAACAGAGATGAGGGAACCCCTGGTTGTCCCCGTCATGATCTCCTTCCTTCCTCTTTCCCCTCAATATGCTCCCCCGTTTGTCACTCTCCCCCTCACATCCTAACTCTGCAGGCCTCTCTGGAGCACGAGGAAGGCAAGATCCTCCGGGCCCAGCTGGAGTTCAACCAGATCAAGGCCGACATCGAGCGCAAGCTGGCCGAGAAGGACGAGGAGATGGAGCAGGCCAAGCGGAACCACTTGCGGGTCGTGGAGTCCCTTCAGGCTTCCCTGGACGCCGAGACCCGCAGCCGCAACGAGGCGCTGAGGGTCAAAAAGAAGATGGAGGGCGACCTCAACGAGATGGAGATCCAGCTCAGCCAAGCGAATCGGGTGGCGGCCGAGGTCCAGAAACACCTCAAGATCGCCCAGGCTCAGCTCAAAGTAATGCAGCTCAAGGCCTCGGCCTAGCTGTGGCAGCGGGGGCGGGTTCACACAGTCATTTAGATGAGGGGGCTGTGGGACGGTCGATGCCTGCCTCTGAAAAGCAGGCCTAAAAGCCCTGGTCCGCGTAGCTCTGTTCTATACACTTGAACGTTTTTGGTTGTTCAGGATAACCAGATCCAGCTGGACGATGCCCTGAGAGCCAACGAGGACCTGAAGGAGAACATCGCCATCGTGGAGAGGCGGAACTCCCTGCTGCAGGCTGAGCTCGAAGAGCTCCGCAGTGTGGTGGAGCAGACGGAGCGTGCCCGGAAGCTGGCTGAGCAGGAACTGATCGAGGCCAGCGAGAGGGTCCAGCTCCTCCATTCCCAGGTGAAAAGGGCCCTTCCCTCACCACTTCTAAGTAGGTTCTTAGTTAAGACAGATTCCTGGAGGAGAAGTCGGTCAGTGGCTACTAGCCATGGTGACTAAAGGAAACTCCGCATGCAGAGGCAGGAGGAGATTGGATTTATACCCGGCCCTTTGGAGTCTCAGAGCATCTTACAAACTCCTTTCCCTTCCCCTCCCCACAACAGACACCCTGTGAGGTAGGTGGGGCTGAGAGAGCTCTGACAGAAATGGCTCTTTTTCAAGGACAGCTCTGACAGAACTATGGCTTGCCCAAGGTCATCCAGCAGCTGCGAGTGGGGGAGTGGGGACTCAAACCCGGTTCTCCCAGATTAGAGTCCGCGCACTTAACCACGACACCAAGCTGGCTCTCACAACCTCTGGTTCCGTGGCAAGAGGTGACATCAGGGAAGGCCTCTCTGCTCTGTTGTTGGCCCTCCAGAATAACTGGTTGGCTGTTGTGTGAGACAGGATGCTGGATTAGGCGGACCACTGGTCTGATCCAGCAGGGCTCTTCTGAAGTTTAGGTCGCTGAGCCCCTCTGACACATCACCTAGTAATCCTTACGTCAAAGCAATCCACAGTGTTGCTCTAATCTTATGTTCCCCCAAGAGCTCTATGGTCGGGGTCGCAGCACCTATTGGTGGTTCCCGGCCCCAAGGACATCAAGCTGGCTGCAACCAGGGCCAGGGCTTTCTCGGCGGCGGCTCCTGTCTGGTGGAATTAGCTCCCAGAGCAGGTTTGGGCCCTGCGGGCCCTGGCGCAGTTCCACAGGGCCTGCAAGACGGAGCTCTTCCGCCAGGCCTTTGCATAGGAGCCGCCGCCGCCACTGTACCACCACCGAGTTGCCATCTTCTACGGTGGATTAGATTTGGAGGTGAGCCGGCCCTGGGCAGACGCCTAGTTAACCGAAGAATGTATGTTGTCAGGTTAGGTTGATGAATGGAACTCACCTTGGATTAAGAAAATTTAACATCAAGACCACCGCGCTTTACTTAATGACTGTTTTATACTGTTTAATGATTGTTTTATGTTGTTTTAATCGTTGTTATGGCAATTGCCTCTGTTGTAGCCGCCCTGAGCCCGTTGGGGTGGGCGGGGTATAAATCTAATAATAAATGAATAAATAAATAATCCCCACCACTGAGGTAAAAAGGGCAGTGTCTTATCTAAGGTGATGTGGTAGGTTCACCGCTGAGGTGAGCCAGGGATGTCACACCACACATACATCGTCTTGCCTCATTTCTCTGGCTCCCCCCCCCCCCCCCTCTCCCCAAAACCCCAGCCTCATC